ATTGATTGACGAGCCGATGACAGCTACTACTGATGACCATAAATGACATAATTTTTAAGTCTGAGTTTTTAAAAAAATTATTCTATTTGAGTATGACACACACTTGGAAATACAATACATAAAATAAAATTATTTAGTGAAATAGTAAATGAAAAAAAAAAAATAATTTAAAATTTAAAGTTTACACTTTTTACAGCTGATCGGAAAATACAATCTGTTAATAAACAGAAATGTTTTATGTCAAAAATGCCATTAAAGGGACAAAACCCTTAGATCACGTGACCTTGTTATAATAATGGCAATTTCTGTATATCATACATGGAAATAAAGAAATGTATTAATTAAAAAAAATACAACATAAAAAATTATTTTTAAAAAAGTAGCGCAACTAAATTTATTAAACTTAGCAATTTTGGATTCGTAAATTTTTTTCTACTTAATTACTATATAATATCCAGGAACCCTCCTAATACAGAGCTTTTTTTTGCGATTTTAAACTATTATAAATTATTATAATTAAAATTTCTTAAAAAACGAAAAAATTCTTGTAAAAATTAATTATTCATCAGAAAAAAATTATTTCTTCAGACAATAATGTCCTTAATATTACTTATTTACAAAAGCAATTAAAAGCTTTTCTAATTAAGTAATATCATAGTTTTTTATTGGATTCATTATTTTTTCAATTCAGAGCAGATTTTCAGTTAAATAGCTCAAATTTGTGAAAGAAAAAAGTAGGTTATTTACCATCTCCAAAGACTCCTACTTTTAAAAAAAAAAAAAAACCAAAATGGTTTTGGTTTTGGCGAAATTTCATTAAATTAAGTAAATGTTTTCCATTTTAAAAAAATAATTTTTACCAAAATTTTCTAAAAAAATATTTCAAAAATAATTTCATTCATTTGTGAATAAGTCCTGAAAATTTCATTAAAATTGGACAATTATTTTATTTTTTACAAGAATTTCCAAATCAATATGTTTTCAACGGTAAAAAACGCAAAAAAAAAAATGTTATTTTAAACGTCGCCGCGATGACGTAAACAAAGACGATTTTAACCAAAATTTCGAACGTGTTAGAAAATATTAAAAATTTCAAAAATAATTAAAAAAATACTTTTTCTTTCATCTAAATAATAACATAAAGCATTTTGACGATAAAAACTTTATTTTCTTTAAGTTTGTGGCATTTTTCATTTACGCTATTGTTTTTCCGCGAAAACAGTGGACATTTATATGATACTAATTTATTTTGACTTTTTTAAGTTTTTTTTACAAAGACCGAAGGAAAAATATATAATATATTCATGATGAGTATGATGATTTTTCATTTTTAATACTATTACAAACATTTGAGTTTTTTATTGTGTTTTTTTTTTTTTTTTTTTTTCCAAGACTCTTTTGTTGTATTCTGGTTGTCAATTTCCATTTATTTTTTTTTTCCGTTGAAAAGAAATGCCATCTGGTTCAAATTTTTTTTTAATAAATTACAAATGTGCAGACAAAAATTATAAAAATTTTCACGTTAAAAAAATCAAGGTCGGTAATCTGAAAGAAAGTTTTGGTTTTATTTTTAAGTTGAATTAAAAAAAATTCTGTTGGGGAAATATCTTTCTTGTATGTGGTGTTTTTTTTTGGGGTAAAAAATAATAAAATTTGGGTGGGGTTAAAAAAAAAAAAAACAAACTGATAAAGTTTTTACATTTTAGTGACTGGTTCAATCAGAACTTAGAATTTGATTTATTAATAAGATACTGCATTATTACTTTGTCTCCCCCCATTTTTTTATATAGACAATAAAAAATAAAAATAATAATAGGTACCAATGCGTTTTTCCCCTAAATGAAATCAAAATATCCCTTCCCCTCTGTTGCCAAAAATCCGGCAATTATCGGATTCAAACGAAATTTTCAGTACTTCTTCGTTCATAATTGTACACTGAATAGAATAAATTATTTTATTGTAAAAAGTTTTCGTTTGTGGAAATATTTATGGGTGTGGGGATCATCCCCATTTGATATCTCGTGTGTACTAAAGGTACTTTTTAATTAGGGGATGCTCTTGCAATATTTTTTTTTGTTTATAGTGAAACAAAATTGTTATTTCAGTAAAAAAAAGATAATTGACTCAATCTCAAATACATTATTTCTCTGTCAGTGGTTACATAATAAAAGGAAGAGTCCTTATTCTCTTCGAATGAATAGAAAAAAATGCTACACGCTAAAAATTACAATGAAAAAAATTTGTAATTTTGCATTTCGTCAGAAGTTTTATTTATTGTTAAAGACGTTTGAAGAATAAGGTTTGGTACATTTTGGTTTTGTTTCCCGAGCGCTAATATCCCTTAAAAAATTTTCCCAAATCGTCATAATTCCGTGCAAATGTACATGCTGAACTGGAATTAACAATTAAATTATGAAGAAACCTTACCGTTTTGGAGTTATCGACAAGAAAAATCGGACTTTTGTTATATATTCGTCCCCCCATTACTGCTATCATGCAGATTATTAATTCACTGCGTAGTACCTTAAATCGGTTGCGTAATCAGAAAAATTCTCCTTATTTACAGTTTATTTTTTTACAGACTTCCCTTTGAGAAAATCACTATGCACTTCCGTAAAACAAATGTTATGTTATTTTTTTTTTTTTTTTTTTTTTTTTTAATAAAGTTTAGTTTTATTTATAACAAAAAACAAATTATGCCAGAACCTTTTCCGTTTTGAATAGTAATCTGCATGATAGCAGTAATGTGGGACGAATGACCAACAAAAAGTCCGATTTTTTCTTGTCGATAACTCCAAAAAAACGGTAAGGTTTCTTCATAATTTAATTGTTAATTCGAGTTCAGTATGTACATTTGAACGGAATTATGACGATTTGGGAAAAAGGGATATTAGCGCTCGGGAAAGAAAACCAAAAGTTTAATAAATGCCATTTTTAAAATAATTTTTTTTTTTCATTGTTAGCAACGGTTAGATTTTTTTTCTTTGATTTTTTTTTTTTGTACATATTCAAACAGGAAATAATTTTGTGGAGTTATATTGGCTTTGCCTACTTTTCCCTATCGGAGAAGTAATAATTCTTGATAATAATATTGTGCACAATATATTTATTTTTACATCAAACAGGTAAGAAGGGAAGGTAAGAAAATAATTTAAAAAATCATAATGTATTAATTAATTTTTTTTATTTTGATTTATTTGATACTTTTAAAACTTTCATGATTTAGTTAAAAATAAAAAAAAAAAACTTGTAGGCATGTCCACTTTTTCGATAAAAACATTATTAGCATACCGATCCTTATGGAAAAAAAAAAAAAAGACCCAAATTCCAAATTGATTAAACAATTTTTTAACGTCTAAAGTTGGTATTGAAAAAAGAAATTACTCATACTAAATTTCATTTTCATATCGTAAAATAAAAAAATCATTCTTAGATTATTGGATACTTTTTAAATATAAATATTAATTTCTCTATTAATTAGTGCATTGCTGATGATCCGTATTTCCTTTTTTTTTTTTTCGCGCGCTTTTTCAGAAAGGGATAATTGCTGTCATTTGACTTCAGTACTGTGCGTAAATATCTGAACAAAAAGGAAGCATTATGTTTACAAAATTAAGTTAATAATACATATTTAAATTTACTGATATAGAAATAAATCTTGACGACAAATATTGAATTTTTAAAATTAACATTTTTTTTTTTTTTTCGCCTTCTCTGGCGGTTCGATGCGTGACGAATGTGACAATGTTTCAAAATTGAACAAATGAATGCCTAAAAAACTTTATTTATATATAAATAAATCCTTCCCTCCAGATAATCTTTGGTAGGTTATTTAATTTTGATCTTTCAAATAAAACTGATATTTAAGTTCAAAAGAATGCATTTAAAATGCTTATAATTAAATCCGCGGAGGTGCCTAAAAAGCGGTTTTTTATATTTTTGTTCGTCCTAAAACGTTTTTACCCACGAACAAATATATATAAAAGAAAAACGTTACAATAACAAAAATAAACCGAAGTTTTTATTTTACTTTCCTGATAATAAAATAATAAGCTTTATGATAACGTACAGTGTATCGAAACGTTAAAGTAGAATAAAAGTTAAAAAAGAATTGCATTTTTTTTCTAGGTTGAGGAATTCAATATTATATTTTTAGTGGATGCCTTTTTTTTTTTTTTTTTTTTTTTTTTTTTTTTTAGACAAAGATATCCACTTTCCAACAAATGATTATCAAATCGAAAATTGAATTTTTTTCCCTTTTCTTTGGTACTTTTACTTTATTACCCACATGTTTATAAAACAGACACAAAATTAGGGTCCAATTTAGCAGTTTATTTACATTAAATAAATTGAATATTTGATGTAGGACACAAGTTCCATCAGACTTTAATTCCTACTTTATAAGATGATAAAATGAAAATCGAGACTGGTTAGTTTTTTTTTTACTTTTGTTTTAGTAGTCATTTTTACTCGCTTTGACTTTTTTTTTTAAGCTTTAATTTTCTCGAAAATGGACAGAATTCAATTAATTGAACTTGGTAAACCATTTTTGTATAATAAAAACCATTTCAGCTTATAGGTACCTCCACAAAATTGCGAAAAAATAGAGCATTGTCTGATGAAAAAGACGCCAAAATTTATGAAAACAAATTTTTTTCGTCAAAATGCTTGTTTTTATGAAGAGGATAGACCAAATTTTTTTTAATTATTTTTAAAAAATTTTTTAGAATATCTAAATTTTGATTTAAAAAACCTTGTTTATCTTTTTTGCAATAAGGAATACTAAATAACATAGATAATTTTTAGCGCGTTTTTTTTGGTATTTTTATACCTTTTTGTGAAAAAAAAAAAAACTCAAAAATTTAATTAAGCTGCTGCAGCTTAATTGAATCTTTACTGGTTTTTTTTTTTGTTTTTCATCTGAGGCTAGCTCAACAAAAAAGTCATTACTAAAAGAATTGGGGCAGAAGAAACGTAATCTTGACCTGATAGGAAGAAATATGATTGGTCAAGTCAACCAACACGTTATGACGAATGCAAGGTGCGGTCTGACGCACAAGTAACAGCTCATTTTTTGACTAAGTTTTACTTTTCACGATTGCTACATTTTGAAATCTCTTTCTTTCAAGGACGGAAAAAAAGGTGAGAGAAAATTAAAATTACCTCGATTTAACATTTTTTTTAATTTTTTTTAAACGTTCAAAATGTTGGTTAAAAATCTTTTTTCTCGTCAACGCAAGGGCCAAAGAGGAAATTTTAGCGGTTTTTTTTTTTTTTTTTAAAATGGTTAAAAAACACTTTGGAAATTCTCGCAAAAATTATTGTCGGATTTTAATCAAACTTTCAGGATTTATTCACATTTTTTTTTTCCACCTGTTCCCCGAACTTATTTAATTTTATGAAATTTCGGGAAATTAAATTTTGTACCACTTATGTTTATTAGTTTATATTAGTTAAATTAAAATAAGAACTCCTTGGAGAATTTAATTAAAAAATCATCAATTTTCTTTTCTAAAGCTATAAAACAGGAACACTGCTCTGAATTGTACAATGAATCATAAACTCTAACTATTTAATTAGAAAAGATTTTAATTGCTTTTATGGACACTGTTGTTTTAAGAATTTTTTTTTTTTTTTTTTTTAGAATAATTGATAAAGCTTTATCTTTTAAATTTCTGCATTACTTTGTGCCAATTAAATGATATTATTAAGTAAAAACTGTATTTACTAATCACAAGTGGAAAAGCTTAGTACAATTCATAGAACACCAGTATTTTAAAAAGAAATTTGAATTTTTTTTTTTTTTTTTTTTTTGTATGTGTATAACTGCAGGTTTTTGTAAATATGGATGTCCATAGACAGCATTATCAGAAAATAAGAACAATAACTATAGTAAATTTAAAGCCAAAATACCCAAAATTCAATAAAACATTAGATTAGAGAGAATAGTTTCCTAAATTCTTAAGATTACTGGCTAGTTAAAAATTATATAAAAAGGTCGTTTACGTTATATTACTCAAGTTTACAGATATATCCACCATAAAATAAAATTAGATAAATTTCTGTCAATCAAGCTGTCAACCTGTCAGCACGTAAAATAAACAGCTACGACTATGTTAAAAAATGCATTCTTGTGATATTTTAAACTTAAAATAAGTAATATTAGTTTCAGTTCATATTAATTAAAATTTAAATCAGCAAATATTCTTCAAATAAAGTTTCAAAAAAGTATTTTATTTTTGAAAAAAATTTTTAATAAAAATTACATTGTGGCTAAAATCAGTGATTCTTTTTTTTAGTGATTTCAAAAATAAATAAAAAAAACTCTGAATTGTCAATTTAAATTAGTTTTGAAATTAAAACTAAAATAAAACCTTCAAGAAAATTTTTTTCATTTGTAAAAATTCATTAATAAATCTTAGGTATTGCATTTTCTGTTTGGAGTGGGGGGGGGGCTATATAAAAATATGTCCAAAGTATAACTAGAACTGGTCTCTATCTCTCAACCATACATTATCAAAAATAATCAAATTTTTCTCTGAAATTCTGAGAGTGACATTGCTTTATTGAATAAAAATTTTTTTTTTTTTTTAGCCTTAAGCTAAAGAGATGCAAAAAGACAGTAATTAAAAAAAATAATAAAAATATTTGTGTTTTATGAGGGTTTGCTGAACTCAGAATTCTGATTTAAGTTTGTGGGTCAAACCTAGAACTTCTTGACACCCTCTCATAAGAATGCTATAATTCTTTATTTTGGAATAAGCACAAGAGGCATAACAAAGGTGGAATATGGACAAAGACCCTTCATTTGCATATGCACCTAATTCCATAAAATGTATACTTGCTTTGTGGAATCTCTTTCTCTCACATTGGCTTCTTTTCTGCTACTAAACAAGAGGATAAAAACAATGCTAGTGATGCGAAACAACTCAAACAAATGAGTAATTCTTTGATGAAAATTGCCTTTTTATATTTTTTAAGTTAAATGTTTTATAACGTTATTCATGTGATGATAAAAAAGAAATTGAACTGTGCAATATAATGAACAGTGGCAGTGATGGGTTTTTTGTTTTTTCAATGATTCTATATTGTCTTGATGCATTTTAGCAGATAAATTTAAACGTGATTTTTATGACTCGGTTAATAAAAAAAAGTGAGGAATAAATATATTTTGATGGGAGAGGCTTGTGTTACTCATAACTGATAACATTTGTTGTGTCAGATAGAATGATAAAATATTGATGTCTAATAATGTACAAAAAATATGTACACAATCATGTTTTATTGGGCAAAGTTAATGTGTTGCAAAATGGAATTAGTATTAGCCAACCAATGTTGGTAAAATCTTTAGGAAATATTTAAATTTATATGAGTTCTAGCTTTTTGTAGTTGGAATTCTGAAGATAACATTAGTCTAAGTGACAAACTTTTTACTTAGATTAATCCCCTATATATATATATATATATATATATATAATGATGATAAAATTTGGTAATCCTCATGGATAATTTCAAAGAGGATATAAATCCAGAGAGAGAGCTCAATATCAAAAACAGAGCAAACAATAATTATTATCAAGAAAACGAGGATTTAAAAGATCATGGTGTTATTTTGTTAGAATTGAAATTTCGATTCCAACTCTTCAGACCAAAACATTACACAAATAAATGGATAAATATTTTACCAGGTTTATATAGAAATATAAATGTAATTTATGCAGATAAAAAAAAAAAAAAAAAAAAAAACTATCAGAAATTTAACATACATGGGTGAAGAAATATAAATAGAAAAAGGATTTAAGTGAAAAAAGTTAAAAAGGGTATAATTGAAAAAACATGTTCAGCTATGAATAAATCAAGGAAAAATGACAATGATATGTATACATACAAATGAACAGGCCAACATATACACATAAGTATATAAACAACCTATGTCCAAACAAAATACAGAAAATAAAACCAGTATATATACATAAGAGAAAACAAACAAACACACACACACATATATATATATATATATATATATATATATATATATATATATATGTACCCACAAATCTTTACCCATGTATGTTAAATTTTTTATAGTTGGTTTATCCTCACTTATTAATACTTATAAGCTTAAATCTTAGTGAGTCTGTTTATTTGTATATTAATGTGTGTGTGATTGCTTGTATATGCTTTCAATTATATGAATATGTGTCTTGTTATTTTCTTTGGCATGCATGTGTTTCCTGAGTCATTTGTGTTTTTGCGTGTTTATATATTCAAATATATTTACATGTATTAGGATATGATTATGTCTGCCTTGTCATTTGTAAGCCTTCCTCCCTTCACTCCATCATATATATTCAAATCCTTTCAATTGTATCTAAGGTTGTTAATGATATTTGAACCTCCTTTATATTAGAATTGGCTTTTCAATGAAAACAATTAGTCAATAATATATATACTCTGTTCCATTCCTTCTTTGAACAATTATATAATATTTTAAACTTAGTGCAGCATAAATTTTAAATTTATAATTTTTATTTTTTTGATGTTATTGTGAAATTATAAATTAGTTATAATGATTTCTAATTTAGTGTAACATTTACATTAAGGCCTTTATAAATTATATCTAGGGTTTGTTGTCAAATTCTTTTAATTATCCTGTACTTGTCTTTTGATTGGTCATTGGTGCTTACATAACATTACTTGACAAGACACCAGAAGTGTTGAAACAGAATAGCTATTTTTGTAGTGATGTTATAAAATGTTTGTTATAATTTTTGAATATATATATATATATATATGTATATATATATATATATATTTATTAAAGACATTTTTATGTTTAACATTCTTTTTTATAGATACAAGTATTTAAGTAAAATGCTCTGTTTATAATAAACAGTATTAAATAACATTTACCGGCCTGAATGTCCGAGAAATTTTCATAGAAAATATTCATCCTTTGACAGGATTCGAACCTGCATCCTATACGGAACCGTCATTTACGCTGACGTGCCTTACCGACCAGCCACAAAGGAGCGTTCGTAGACAAGGTCAATTTACTCGGTAAATGTTATTTAATACTGTTTATTATAAACGGAGCATTTATTTAAATACTTGTATCTATAAAAAAGAACATTAAACATAAAAATGTCTTTAATATATGACGTTCTATATATATATATATATATATATATATATATATATATATATATAATGATTTAAGTGGAAACTTTAGAAATCCATTGGTAATAATTTATTTCAATGGATTTCTAAAGTCTCTGCTTTCATCATTATTATATTTGCTCTGTTTGGAATGATCCCTACTAATTATCAAATAATATATATTAGTACAGGTAATAAGTTTGTTATTACTATGATCCACTTGGATTATATACTATCAAATATTAAATTCAGGAAGATCATTTGGTTACTCCACCTTTCAACCTAATGGTTAAAACCAAACTAGGACATAAATTTTTAAACCTTATCAAAAAAACATTTCCCTGATCCCAATACTAATCCACTCAGTAAAATGTTCAGTTATAATACTCTTAAATTAAGCTATAGTTGTGCTGATAACCTGGAAAAAATAATTAACATAACAGTCTTCAATGAGTATAGGGACTCAAAAAAACTTGGCTTATTGTCAGGTTGCAGTGAGTAAAACTAAGTATAATGACACTAATAATAACTTTTGTGCAATTGTAGGAATCCCAGTAATTGCCCATTACCGAATAATTGTTTAACTAGTTCTCAAGTTTATCTTAGTACAATTTCTACACTAGAAAATCCCAATATTAAAAAATTTTACATTGGAAGTACTATGAATACATTCAAAGAGCATTGGTGTGAACATGTGCAATCTTTCAACAATAGTAATCATAAATACAAGACTTCATTGTCCAAGTATTTTTTGAGTTTAAAGGAGAAAAACAAGACACCTACTGTTAAATGGAAATTAAGAGAGCTCAAGCATGTAATTTTCTATATGCCCCTTGTTATTTATGTCTTAATGAAAAATTTGAAATCATTAAAGACAACACCCATCTCTTAAAGGAATCAACTCACTGTTAATTGTAAACATAGCTCAAAATTAACCTACTATAGGGGTAGTAATATTTTTGATAAAGCAAAATTATTGTAAG